CCATTACCTGGTAAAAATATTTATCTAGTACTGCAGTATGTTGGGACTTTTGGACACAGAAGATCCAATATGTAACTAAGCCAGATGACAGGAGTTGAGTGGAGCTAATGGCAAGATAAATTAAGGAAGTAACCTTGGAAGACCAGAAGAACTGTTCATCTTTTTTAAAAAAACTTTCATTCTTGTAGAAGCAGTTATTAAAGTAACATGAGATTGAAATTAAGGGATTGAATTACAGAAGGAAGATCATTATGGTCCATCAGCCAAAGATTCAGGCCTTGATCAAAATCTTCCACTTGAGTAGAAGTGAGAAAGTTAAATAGGACACACATGTATAAATACCGAATAGTTTCTGTGGTGTGAGAAGCTGAAAGTGTAAATAAGTGTATGACTGTATAATAGGTAATGTGAAATAAGAAGAAAAGGTACAAAGGGGAGAGACTGTGGGACAGGAAAAGAGAAAGAAAAGAAGGGAATGGAATTAATCTAAAAAATGACAGACATGGAATTGAAGTCTTTGTAAAAATGGAGCATTGAAGTGTTGAAGGAGGGCAGAGCAATGGGGAAAAATAAGAATCAAGTTATGTTATCTAAAGGTACAAGTCTCCAATGATGAATGGCACTATATTTATGCCTAAAGTGTACCAATAAATTAATTATAAAAGAGTTTTGCTCACTGGGAAAAAAACCAAAAGCAAACCAAACTAAAAAAATAAAAGAAACAAGAAACTTGGTTACCTGTCTTTTCAAGAATTAGAGCAACTGCAATGGATTTTCCACTTCCAAACTCCAGCTACTCCTCTTGGAAAGACACAAGTGTTGCTCCTTGAGGGATTGTTCACAGGAAGAAACTTATTCTGCCGAGATTACTTAAATTGTAGTTGTTCCAAATATTCTAACAAACTAATTTGTTAAAAGTGGTGATGATGCAAGAAAGTCAGAGTGGACCTGCACATGTAAATGGAAGAACTGGTTTCCTGTTGGAATGACTCAGAGGTTTCTTTCAAGTCAAGTTCAGGCCCAGTTGGAGCACATCTTCAGCTTCACGTAGTCCTGGAAGTGGTGGATGGTCTCCATCTCCTGGGAGGAGATCGGGAAGGAAGGCACATGTTTTAAATTAGGAAGGAAGAGGCCTTAAAAGATGCAACTTGGATGACTGAAAGACTGAAGAATTGTGCTCCTGCTTGTGAGAAACTTCTGTGATTCACTTTTTGAAGAAATTAAGCCTCAGCATTTGCTCACTAACTACATGGCTTATTTCTCAAGCACATTCACGACTTTGAAAATTCTTGAAAGCACAATCCTTTTTGGTTCTTCATCACAATTAACTGAAAAGAGAAAAAAAATATAACAAATGTTTGCTTATTTGTGTCATTATATATTGAATTTGGACAGAACTGTTTCCACTTACTAGGTCCATTTGTAACCAACTTATGCAAACATAAGATGTTTGTTTTTCTAAGAAGACTCTTTCCTAGTAGGTGGGAATATGCAACACATTCTTTAAATGTCTTTACATTTTAGGTACTGGCTTGTCTTCTTTTACACTTCTGAATGAGAAAATAGAAAGTGTACTGTGAAAACATGTTTGCTGTAGCCACTTGATCCTGTTTCTCTTCCCCTAGTCAGCTGTGCATTATCTCTTGTTGTGTGAAGGCACACAGGCACAAGAGGTATTAGCAGTCACCCACAGCAATAGAAACATTGATTTTCAGGACCACGGACAAGACCCCAGAAGAAAGTTTATAAAAACAACAGAAAAGCAAAACTGAAGGAATATTCCTGTATGAGAGAGAAATACATCTAATATATTAAAAGTGACACAGGAGGTAAGTGAATTAGAAAAATTAAGTTGCAAAAATAGAGAAGTAAATCAGGATGTACTAAACATGTACAAAATATTTTTGTTGTCATGTTGAAGCATGATAGCTGTTTATTTTCCATTTTGCCACATAACAAGTGAAACATGTTACATGTATACCAAAGAAAACCCTGTTTTTATTACTCTAGTTTATGGGATACATTTTTCACTATAGGTTAACACCGAGGAATAATTATTTTTAGATATATTTGAATTAGAGCTTTATAGAATAACACACATTGACTTTAAACAGTGCAAGGGAATAAGTGTATAATATGTTGTGTAACCTTGATATGGGCTTCTACATATTAATTTCAAAATCATTCCAGCATACACGCTAGTGCATATATTTAGAGAAAGCTATGATCAGTGATGTGTCTCATCTGTGCTTACTTGTTATTTTAAAGTATGAGACAGAGTATTTTTTTAATTGTAGGTTAGTAAGAGATGCTCTTAAAATTGTGTTATTTGAAGGAATTAGTGGGTTATGTTGACAGTATTATCATACTATTCTTCAACTTTGTATTATCAAATCTTCTTTTTCTTCATTGAGTTTACTGCTACATTTTAGATATACAGTACAGTTACATTCATTATTGGGATCTTGTGCCTTTACCTGACAGGTCTTGGTTCTCATTTTTTCCCCTTGTCCCTGCGCTCCCTTCACCCCCTCTTTCCCTCCCCATCTACAAACACTTTATTATCATTTTTTCCTTTTCTCCTATTTTTTTCTTTCCCTTATGACCTTTCCCCTACCCTTCCCACTTTCTATCAAATCTATGATAACAAGCTATATGGTATGAAGAGGAGTTTAATTGCTCTACTTTTTGTATTATGCAAACACTTTTTCTGACCAGCTGAAGATTTATTTCAGTGAATCCCAGAACTGCTGATGAGATCAAAGACACTAAGCACTGTAGAGAGGCATCAAACAAGAACATTGGACATCGGCTACTTTGTGTCCTTATGGTTTTCAACAGGTATGCCTTTTGTCTACAAAGCCTCCACAAAGGCAGATTTCATGAATGTGCTGCAAACAGTACTGTGAATGAGGCACACAGAAGGGTCATTACAGGTGGCTTCAAAGACAGCTGGGACTTTTTCAGCACGTCTTGCTCTACTACCATAACCACCTGTGGGCAATCCTCTTGCTTCCTCCTAGTCAAAATAGAATTGTTCATAGATAAATACTGCTAGTAGTTCTATAATAAATTGTGTAATCCGAAGACATACAATTTTATCTTAAACCCCCAAATTATTAATGTGTAATACATATATTACACATTATATATATGCTATTGTTCATCTCTTGTCCTATGTCAATTAATTCTTCTTCAGGCAAGAGATTCTAGTGATGTGCTATGATACAATGCTTACAGTGAACCATTCAAAAAGGTTATAAATAACTATCAGTTATTTAAAAGTTTCCTGGAACACCACAGTAGTCTAGAAACAGCACATATAGTAATGACTCCAGGAGTAGATAATCTGGGTATCCTCATGGTAAAAGTGATGAAATATAAACATAGAGACATTTATGAAGTGGCTGAGGGCTACCTGGATAGAAAAGGAATTAATCTGGGATTGCAACCCAAGCGCTGACTCTCCAGCATGCGCATTACTCCTGAGTGTGGTATGCTCTCTCTCCGAGGACATCTTGGAGGCTGTCTAGATTCATTCTGAATGAGAAATCTAGAGACATGATTTGGTTACTGTAGTTGTAACATCCAATTTGCCACTGGGTAGCTTTTTTCAGGACCCAGTGAAAACTTTTATTTGATTATGCAAATGTGAAGAAAGAGGGAAATAACAGATGAAAAGACTTGAGGGCTCTATTGATAGTTTTGTACATTGTTGAATTGGACAGACTGTGAGATCGTCTAGTCCTGCCCTTTGGATTTTGATGTGAAGATTGAAGTATTTGTAATTGCATTAAAAAATGACTCAAATATGTGCCATCTCACACCTTGTTTGGATTTATCCATTCAGTAGGCTGTTTTTGGAATCCACATCATGATATTGTATTTCAGTGCATGGTCTGTACCTAATCATTACAAATAAAACTCTCACCTACTGTCCTCTACATCTCTTAGATTTTATTTCCATTCTCTCACTACCTGTTTCACCTAGGGGGTTCTGAAAAGAGTAGCAGTAGGTGCTAACGCAGTATCCAGTGACAATCACAGGTTAGGTGAAGATTTTCCTAATATCAGGGCATATATATATATATATATATATATACACAGACACACACACACACGTACATACACACACATATATGCATATACATATACATGTATGTATATATGTATATATAAACACATATATGTATATATACATATATATGTATACACATATATATACATATGTATGTATGTGTGTATATATATGGGAATTTAATACCAGCATGGATGAAGTGGAAAGAATCAGTGCTCTAAAGAAGAAAAAAAATGGAGTCATACAGTTTTTCTACAAGAAGTAGTGTGCTGAGTAATTTTGTAGTATTTTCTACAGTCCCAGTTGGGCTGTTATTGAATTGGAGAGTATAAAGACTCAAAGTGCTTTTGGCTTTGCATGACAGAAGCCTCATACTGCAGTATCATGGTACTGACCTGGGCATACTAGGACAGGTATCATTTTCAGTGTGGCACAGACTGTCTTGTAACATTATTCCATACCAAAGCTATCAATGTGAAAGACTGAATCTATGTCAGTGAATATATTTAATGTTCATTTCCATGGTTAAACAGTAGGACTCTTGCAAGCAAAAGGCTTTCTCTTTTGTCCTTTCTGATTTCTGTGACATGTAATGACAGATTTCAAAGAAAGTGTGAAATGTATGAATGTCCATGATGCTTTCATCTTTCCTCTCTCCCAATATCCACTGAAAAACAACCTCTGATTTGTAGACTCAACAAAATCATGCAGGGAGAAGTAGAATTAGCCACAGATCTAGCGCGCTTTTTGAAGAGGGTTTCCATGGATGATCACTAAACGTTTACTGTGTGTTCACCCCTGAGGGATACATGGTGACGAAGACTCCTCTGTGGCAGACTGTGTCATGGTCCTGGTCACTATTTCCTGGCAGGTCCTGTTCTCCTGAGCTCACATCTCTGAAGCAAGTCTTCTGGAAGACTGAATGGGACACAGGATTAATGTCACAGAATTTGTCCTCCTGGGCCTCACTCAGGATCCCAGCGCACAAACAGCATTATTTGTCATGTTTTTACTAATCTACACTGTGACAATAGTGGGAAACGTACTCAGCATGGTGACTGTCCTTGCCAGCCCTTCCTTGGGCTCCCCGATGTACTTCTTCCTTGCCAATCTGTCACTCCTTGATGCTGTTTATTCCACTGTCTTCTCACCCAAGTTACTGACAGACCTGCTCACTGGTAGGAAGACCATTTCCTTCCCAGCCTGCATGGGCCAGCTCTTCTCAGAACACTTATTTGCTGGTGCTGAGATCTTCCTTCTGGTCGCGATGGCCTATGACCGCTATGTGGCCATCTGTAAGCCACTTCACTATCTCGCGTCTATATGGTGATCTTCATCCTCCTCCTCATCTCCTATGGAATCATCCTCACCTCCCTTAAAATTCACAGTCAGGAAGGGAGGCACAAGGCCCTTTCTACCTGCAGTTCCCACATCACTGTGGTTGTCCTATTTTTTGTTCCATGTATTTTCATGTATGTCAGACCTGTCTCCACCTTTCCCTTTGATAAATTCATAGCCATTTTTTATACACTGATTACTTCCTCCTCATCTCCTATGGAATCATCCTCACCTCCCTTAAAATTCACAGTCAGGAAGGGAGGCACAAGGCCCTTTCTACCTGCAGTTCCCACATCACTGTGGTTGTCCTATTTTTTGTTCCATGTATTTTCATGTATGTCAGACCTGTCTCCACCTTTCCCTTTGATAAATTCATAGCCATTTTTTATACACTGATTACTCCTATGTTAAATCCTTTAATATACACTTTGAGAAATTCGGAGATCCAAAATTCTGTGAAAAACCTCTGGCATAAAAATTTAACTAGAGAAACTCTGCTAATTGAAATGTAGGATACATGCATTAAATCCTAACAAGGGCTGATGCAGTCACTTCACCAGATTGTTTAGATCTGCATCTGTATCTGTACAAAACCATGAAAGAAGAAGTACAAGTTTTCCTTTGTGTTGTCACTATTGTAGTAGAATTTGTAGAATATATGATAAAAGCCTCATTTTTTCTTCTTTTGCAAGTGAAGATAAGGATTACCCTAAGCACAGTATACTTTCTAACTTGCTGTTCTCAGTTCAGATTAAAATAGGACTTTAAAAAAGTGGTTGCCTTCTTTTCAAATAAGAAAGAAGCTAATTTTGGAAATTTGGAAATGCCTCATATTCATAAGAAAGGGAGATGTCCAGTGCTCAGGTAAATTCTGGGACTGAAAGAAGTTTTAAACCTGTCATGTTCATTATTTGATCAGTATAGCAGATTTGTTAGCCTCATTATGAACTTTGTTGTATGATTACTTTTATTTTTCAGCTTTAAAATCTATGTGTTTTCAGTTCAGAGGTTTTTGGATAGAAGGTGATACTGTGTTCAGCTAAAAATATTGTTAGTGAAAAGTTTTATAATAAAATGAGATCCAGTTGATGAGGAAACCAGATTGAAGTTGTTTACTGCGGTTTGATATGTTGTTTTAGAAAGCCATGAGAGCCAAGTTGGAATTGTTGTGTTGTGACAATTTCCCTCTGTCGAGGAACCACCACAGTCAAATGTTTTCAGTGTTTATCACCCTAAAATATTTTCCTTTACTTTTGCAGTCAGTTTGCCTCCTTCCATTTAGTCCTGGAAAACTCTGATGCATTTGTGTCCTCCTAATTTTCCTTTCCCAAAATGTTGCTTTAATAAACATGAGCCACACAGAATATTGTCGTTTGAATATGGTGTCATTCTATTAAGCTTTTGGGGTCTCTGATTATTCCTACATATATTATCAGATCATTCATTTTTATTGCTGAGTCGTGTTAACATTGCACAGAGATACCATAATTTTGTTAAACTTTTAAAATCCCTTTTGCAATTAGAGATATTTTGGTTCATTGCAGATACTGGAAATTATGAATGAATCTATTCTATCATAATAATATATAATGTATGTTAGTAGAGAAGCTTTCTCTTAACATAAATTCTGGTCTGACCTTTATGAATTCCTCCCCTGTATCAGCTTTGGGTTTGTCTTGCTCTTGTTTTTCTTGGAGCTTGAGGTCCTGTACCAGAATGTTCATTAGAACACTGCTTATTTCTTCCCTCTTGCTCCCCTTTCTTGCCTTTGACCCCCCACTGGGTCCCTTCCCTGAGCTTTTCTGAATATGTGTAGTTGTGTATTGGACCTATTGAGTCATAAAGGCCTTGGATGCAGTGTCACATACATAACTAAAAGTAAAAGAATTCAAAAGGGTTTTTCTTTGATTTATTTTCCCTAAGGGCCATTTAAAATTACACCGTAAACTATGGAGTATATGTGGAAACATCTATATCAGTTAATATTTTCAAAGTGCTTTCTTACTGGAAGGGATATAGAAGGTGCTTAAGCACAGCTACATTTTCAATTTTTTAGTCATAATTTAACCCAGAAAAGTTTGATTATACTAGGTTGTACTTCCAAATGAAAGATAGATCTGTAGACTTTTTTCTACTTAGCAATTTGAGCACCACAATGATTAGATGTGCACTTTCTCTCAGAAGTAAAACAGGTTACATCTGATGTTGGTGGATTTAATACACTTTTCAGGTATGTTAATAACTTCCACATTCTACTGGATCCCATTACCTGGTAAAAATATTTATCTAGTACTGCAGTATGTTGGGACTTTTGGACACAGAAGATCCAATATGTAACTAAGCCAGATGACAGGAGTTGAGTGGAGCTAATGGCAAGATAAATTAAGGAAGTAACCTTGGAAGACCAGAAGAACTGTTCATCTTTTTTAAAAAAACTTTCATTCTTGTAGAAGCAGTTATTAAAGTAACATGAGATTGAAATTAAGGGATTGAATTACAGAAGGAAGATCATTATGGTCCATCAGCCAAAGATTCAGGCCTTGATCAAAATCTTCCACTTGAGTAGAAGTGAGAAAGTTAAATAGGACACACATGTATAAATACCGAATAGTTTCTGTGGTGTGAGAAGCTGAAAGTGTAAATAAGTGTATGACTGTATAATAGGTAATGTGAAATAAGAAGAAAAGGTACAAAGGGGAGAGACTGTGGGACAGGAAAAGAGAAAGAAAAGAAGGGAATGGAATTAATCTAAAAAATGACAGACATGGAATTGAAGTCTTTGTAAAAATGGAGCATTGAAGTGTTGAAGGAGGGCAGAGCAATGGGGAAAAATAAGAATCAAGTTATGTTATCTAAAGGTACAAGTCTCCAATGATGAATGGCACTATATTTATGCCTAAAGTGTACCAATAAATTAATTATAAAAGAGTTTTGCTCACTGGGGAAAAGACCAAAATCATACCAAACTAAATTAAAACATAAAAGAAACAAGAAACTTGGTTACCTGTATTTTCAAGAATTAGAATAACTACAGTGGATTTTGCACTTCCAAACTCTTTCCTCTAAGATTCATCATGCCATGGGCAGAGACCCTTAGACTGTGAGGAAGGGGCATCTTTGCTAGTGTGTGGTTGGTGAGGGAAGTTGCACTGTTTCCTCCACAGGCTGGATTACATATTACTTACTTTACTTATTGTGTCATCAGGTGCAGCTTCTACCTCATCAATCATTACATTTTGAGACTTAATTTTCACACTACAGGTTTTCATATCACTTAGCAGTCAGCTACTCTTCTTGGAAAGACACAAGTGTTGTTCCTGGAGGGATTTCCCACAGGAAGCAACCTCTTCAGCAGAGATTACTTCACTTGTATTTGTTCCAAATGTTGTAACAACCTAATCTGTTAAAGTAGAGATGATGCAAAAAGTCAGCCTGGACCTGCACATGTAAATGAAAGAATTGGTTTCCTGTTGGAATGACTCAGGTTTCCTTCAAGTCAAATTCAGGGGAAGTTGGAGCACATCTTCAGCTTGTAGATAGTCCTGAAAGTGGTGGTAGATCACCATCTCCTGGGATGAGATAGGGAAGGAAGGCACATGTTTTTAATTAGGAAGGAAGAGGCCTTCAAAGATGCAACTTGGATGACTGAAAGACTGAAGAATTGTGCTCCTGCTTGTGAGAAACTTCTGTGATTCACTTTTTGAAGAAATTAAGCCCTAGCATTTGCTCACTAACTACATGGCTTATTGGTCAGGCATATTTATGACTTTGAAAATTCTTGAAAACACAATCCTTTTTGGTTACTTCACCATGATTATCTGAAAAGAGAAAAAAATATAACAAATATTTGCTTATTTGTGGCATCGTACATTGAATTTGGACAGAACTGTTTCCAATTACTAGGTCAGTTTTTAATGAACTGTTGCAAACATAGGACCTTTGTGTTTCTATGAAGATGCTTTCCCAGGAGATGGGAATATACAACACATTCTTTAAATCTATTTAAATTTTATGTATTACCTTGGCTTCTTTTACACTTCTGAATGAGAAAATAGAAAGTGTACCATGAAAACATGTTTGTTGTAGCCACTTGATCCTTTTTCTGCTTCTCCTAGTCAGCTGTGCATTATTTCATGTTGTGTTAGCAGTCACCCTCAGCAATAGAAAAATTGATTTTCAGGACTATGGGCAAGACCCCAGAATACTGAAAACAACAGAAAAGCGAAACTGAAGCAATATTCCTGTAAAAGAGTAAAATATAACAAATATATTAAAAGTGACATAGGAGGTAAGTAAACGAAAAAAATAAAGTGCAAAAATAGATAAATTATTCAGAATATACAAATGTGTACAATATATATCATGTTAAAACTGGATAGGTGTTCATTTTCCATTTTGCCACATAAGAAGTGAAACATGTTATATGTATAGCAAAGAAAACCCTGTTTTTATTACTCTAGTTTATGGGATATATTTTCCACGATAATTACACCGAAGATAAAAAATAAAGTGCAAAAATAGATAAATTATTCAGAATATACAAATGTGTACAAAATATATCATGTTAAAACTGGATAGGTGTTCATTTTCCATTTTGCCACATAAGAAGTGAAACATGTTATATGTATAGCAAAGAAAACCCTGTTTTTATTACTCTAGTTTATGGGATATATTTTCCACGATAATTTAACACCGAAGAATAATTATTTTTAGATATATTTGAATTAGAGCTTTATAGAATAACATAATATGACTTTAAACAGTGTAAGGGAACAAGTGTATAATATGTTGTGCAACCTTGATATGGGCTTCTACAAATTAATTTCAAAATCATCTCAGCAAACATGCTAGTGCATATATTTAGAGAGAGCTATCATCAGTGATGTGTCTCATCTGTGCTCACTTGTTATTGTAAAGTACGAGATAGAGTACTTTTTCAATTGTAGGGTAATATGAGGTGCTCTTAAAATTGTATTATTTGAACGGATTAGT